ACTTTTGTTTAGAGGAATGGTTAAACTTATGTCTGAAATATCAAATTACCAAACATATATAAATAAACGGAGGAAGTACATCAAATTTATTGAAGTGTTCTGGAGTACGTGTTAGGCCACCTATGGTATCGGTCGATGGAGCCGCCTCCACGTCGTACCATACGCACGCAGCGCGCGGGCGCGCGCTCGCATCGGTGCTCCCCGGCGGCCATACGCCGCACACGTAGACGCGCATACAAAGCTGCAAACCTGCAACGCGCGTAGTGGCGCCCGGCGCCGTTCGATCCACACATATCTCGCTCTCGCTCGCGCGCGCGGGAGCGTGACCGTGTCGCGTCGCGATCGCAGCACCGCGCCCGCGCCCGCGCGCACGACGGCGAGGCAGACGCGCGCGCGACGGGAGCGTGAGCGCGGGTACGGTGTGGCTACGCTTTCTAGCTAGTCTCGATCAGTCGATCGATCGATCGCGATCGATCTCCCCCACCGGGCCGGTCGACGGTCAGGTACGTCAAGGCGCGCGGCCGGGCCCGGCCGGAGCTAGCTAGCTAGCCGAGGTAGACAGAACCCTCCGGTCATCCGGTGTGTGCGTGGTCCAGGGCGGGAACGCGAACCTTCTCCATCGCCGCGGGTCCGACACCCGCGTGGGGGCGGCGGTCGCTGTCGTTCGCCGTGCGCCGGCTGGGTCTGACCTAGCTTTGGCCGGGGCCGCCCCTCGCCCGCCGATCGCGACGTACGGCGTCCCGTCGGCCGTCGACACTGACCCGCGCGCGCTGATCGATAATATCGATGGATGTATTGGAGGGTAGCCTTCCGGCAGCGCGCGGCGATCGATCGTTTACGCAGTTCGGGACGGCCTTCGATCACGGGCGTAGTACGTACCATATATATCCAGGGGTTTACCGAGCCGTACACGGTACACTCGACATGAACTAGCTTGCTTGTCCGTGAGTCGCGATCGATCGATCGGGCGAGACAAGTGACAAGACGATCGATGTCGTAGCTGGCTAGATATGCGCCTCCATTAGCGGCCCGGGCATGCATGAATGTATCAATAGCATTGGCCCCGTTCGATATGACCATGTCACGATCGATCGACGGTACAGGGCACTGTAACCGGCGAGGGCTGATTCGCTGAAAAGAGAGCGAGCAGTCGCTGTGCCCGGTCGTCGGCCGCCAGTTGTACAATTCGATACTTGATAGCCGGTCCCCGTGAACGGGTGAACCGCGGGCCGACCGGCGCCCGTCCGATCTATCTAACTTCGGTCGATCTATCGATCTCAGTACGCCATCCATCAGATCCATCCGCCTCGATTTACGGCTGTGACCGTGGGGCGTTGCCATCCATCTGTTGTGCAAGACAATCTGGTAGGGTCGCCCTGCGTCTCCTCTAATCATTCGTCCATAATTATGCACGTACGAGTGCATTTTAGTAGAGACGCATGCACTTGTTAGTCCAGGGTGTACGTGAATTCAAATTTCAATCCCATGGTTCTCCGATGTTGAATTCACCAAGTTTCTACTTGGTTGTCCAATATTTTAAGACCCATTTGAAACACAGGACCAAGAAAATGATTGAGAAAACACATAAATAGAAAAAAAATGTACGAATAGAATACCATGCTTATTGAATTCCTATGGGACTTTGAAACACAGGAAAGTCTCCAAGCTCTCGTTTGATTAGCACATAGGAAAAACGCAGTAATTGTAAACACATGAAGAGAAAAACATAAGGTGAGACCTCATGCTTATTTTCCTTCAAAATTGCTCTAGCAAGATCTATTCCATAGGAACTTTAAGGCCCTCTTTGAATCAAAGGAAAAACCATAGGAATTATAGAGGATTTTATCCTATGAAAAATAATCCTATAGAGTCATTTGAAACAAAGGATTGTTTCCTATCAATTCCTTTGAAATTCCTATGGAATGAACCTTACTAGAGCAATTTTGGAGGAAAATAAGCATGAGGTCTCACCTCATGTTTTCCTATTCATGTGTCTAAGGTTCCTGCGTTTTTTCTGTGTGCTAATCAAATGACAGTTTGAAGACTTTCCTGTATTACAAAATCCCATAGGAATCCAATAAATGTGGCATTCAACTCCTATATTTTTTCTATTCCTCTGTTTTCTCAATCCTGCGATTAAAAAATGCCCTAAAGGAATTGATATGTGATAGTCCTTTGTTTCGACTCTATAGGATAAAATCATCTATAATTTCTATGGTTTTTCCTATGTTTCAATGGGGTCTTAGCATTTTGAAATTCACTAAGTACGTTTTCTTTTTTGTGCAGACTTGTTAAACTCGGTATCTATTAACTTATTAAAGGAATAGAAAAAGGAGCCTCCACGTTCGCTCTCATGGACTAGAAATTCTCATATTAACTAGAGAAAAAGAAAAACAGAGTACATATAGAAATACAATTTAGAAATAGCTGAAATTCGGAACTAAAAAATAAGGAATATTGAAAGATGAGACTAGAGTCCATATAGAAATACATTTTATAAATAACTGAAATTCAGAATTAAAAAATAAAAAAATATTAGAAGAAGAGTATAGAGTCCATATAGAAATACAATTAGAAAATAATAGAAATTCAGAATTAAAATAAGGAATATTAGAAGTAGAGTATAGAGTCCATATAGAATTTAAAACTAACTAAAATTCGGAATAAACATAATAAAATTAAAAGTAGAGTTTAGAGTTCGTATAAAAATACAATTTACAAATAACTAAAATTATAAATTAAAAAAAGAGAGTCTAAATTCAATATAGGAATACAATTTAGAAGTAACTAAAATTCGAAATTAAAAGTTAAAGAATATTAAAAGATAAGTTTAGAGTCCACATAGAAATACAATTAGAAATAATAAAAAATTAAGAATTAAAAATAAATAATATTGGAAGAAAAGCCTAGAGTTTATATAGAAATACAATTTACAGATAACGAAAATTTGGAATTAAAAAAAGAAATATTGAAAGACGAGTCTAGAGTCCATATAGGAATATAATTTACAAACAAATAACGAAAATTCGGAATTAAAAATAAATAAATATTGAAAGACGAGTCTAGAGTCCATATAGGAATATAATTTATAAATAACTAAAATTTAATATTAAAAATAATTAATAACTAACACGTATATAAAATACAGTATAAATATTACACAATATATTATACATTAGTAGTTTCGTAAAGTTAGTACAAAATTTAGAATTATGTATCATTTTAATATATTTGAAAATTATATTAAGAAAACATATATACTATTATATGAGAGAAAATATAATGACACTAGCCGTGTAATCTGCGCGGGCCACCATGCTAATTTATTTGAAAAAAACACACTATCATGGATATATAGAGCAACTGAGTAAGCAAGATATTTATCTATGTTTGTATTTAAAAATGTGACGCCACAAATAATGACAAAATTATTTTGTTATATTCCTGCCTTCTCTGCATTATCCGCGCTAGCTGCTCTCCTCTAGCTCGCTATCTTATATTCTATGCCCCTGCATCTCGATCGGCGCATGGCGTGGCGCGGTGGCGGAATATACGCACGCACCGCTCCGGTCAGTGGCCACGGAGCGTCGCCCCGTCCAGTGGAGATCACCACGGAAAGCGAACGCCGATGACGACGACGCCCGCGCGCGCATCAACATCACGGCGGTTTCAGTGCGCCGTACCCGTCCATGCATGCAGCGCGCTGTAGCTAGCCACGACGTGACGCGCTGGTTTAGCGACACGTATACTCGCTCTCCAGGACAGCTAATATGCTCTGCTAGCTCACACGTTTGTATCTCCGTCCTGTCGATCGTTGGGGATCACGTAAGATCGAAACAGTGGCGACAGCATTGAGCAGTGGCGTGACCGAGTGAGGTTTGATGAAACCTCTCCGCAGCTACCACATCAGCGGCATACTAGTACTACTTTTGACGATGAAACCTCTTTTTGAAACTGCGTCCTCTTTTATGGGGAAAAAAAGAAGGGAACAAGGGTATCATATAGATTGAATACCGTATATTGCAGAATTGCAAGCACCAACGTAATTTCTAGTTCGGTCCATAGCTTCGATAAACGAGCGAACACCATCTGACCATCCGTGTATTTCAGGCACTTCTCGCACAAAAATAAAGTTTCCCACAGTTGGCGCAATTTAACCGGAGTCTGAGTTAAGCCATGAGTTTTCCAATTTTTCACAGAACACACCAGCACGGTAAACCTTTTCTTAGAAAAAAGGTTAGGGCGGGCAAACGTCCTTCCTATTTTTCACAGAACGCTCCAGCGACTGGGTTTCCCCGCGCTTACGCCCTCGTTCAGATGGGTTTCCATTCCGGCCCATAGACATGTCAGCCACAAGCCCATAACCAAAACGAGCCTACAAAGCTACCAACAAATGCTGCCCACATGAGCCACGCCCGCATGGACGCATGTGGGTAGGCCACTCTCCGCTGCTTTGCACTCTGTCGATCTGTCTTTCGGAAGGCCTGAATTTTGTGGGCTTGGTGATTACTTGGGCCTAAATCATAGCGATTATTTTTGGAAAAGTCCACTTTAGGTTCCTCAGATAGGGGCCGAGCTTCGAATCACATTCTTCAACCGCAATATCACCCCTCGACTTCTAAAACCATGGCAAATTTGAGTCCCTCTGCTTTGGGCGGTTTTGGCTTGTGGTGGTGGCGTCCACGTGGTATGTTGACCTTATTTTGAGGTTGATGAATGCTATCAAAACCCGATCCCTATTTGAGAGAGAGAGAGAGAGAGGGAAAAAAAAGAAAAGAAAAGTGAACTTATTCCTTGTTCTTTCGAGACCTGAGATGTTTAGCCACATTGGTGGGGAAACTCTTTTAATCTCATTTCTTATATGTTACTCATATAGTTATAAAAAAAATAACAAGATAGATTAATTTGATATATGTCACTACACAAACATGTAAATTTAAATTTTAGTTTTGCAAGTGAAAAAAATATGATTGTGAAATTAATTTTTTTATGACATCAAATTTAAACCTGGAAGTTTGGGTGATATATCACATTTACTTTTATAAAGAAACCTTTGATATGTGAGATAGTATATGTTTGTTTTTCAATTATTTTCATAACTATTTACATGACACGACAGACGGAGGGGATATCCCTATCCCTCCAAAGAGAATCCATTTCCCACTTTGGTGAGATACTGTTCAATAGATAATGATATTTGCAGTTGCACGCTACAGTTTTGAATATTCTTCGCATCAATGTACCAAATCATTAGGCATGTGATCAGATCTTCGCGCCCGCCCTCTCCACGTCTGCGTTGGCAGCGACCGCGGCCGCCGCCTTCGCATCGTCCACGTGGGCGGCATCAGCGTAGACCTCCTCGTCGACGTCGTCGCCGGAGCACGCGCCGTGCGCGACGTCGTAGGTGGCGTGCAGCCCGACGAGCACGTAGTAGAGCAGCATGATGGCGGTGCAGACGCCGAAGCGGATGAACGCCTGCGCGCCGAGCGAGCCCATGAGGAAGAGGTTGGTGGCGATGGACAGCGACGGCAGCCACGGCACGAGCGGCACGCCCCACACCTTGGGCGCGCGCGCCGCCGGCACCAGAAGCTGGATGCCGAGCGTGCCCGCCGCCCACGCCGGCACCAGCACGGTGTACCCAACCCACCGCTCCGGCGCCGCGCCCCAGTACGCCGCGATGCCCGCCGACGAGCCGATGACCACCGATAGCAACGCCACCAGCCGCCTCGCGTGCGTCCTGCTCGTCACGCCCCGCACGTAGTACCTGCGCGCGTTACAGGAAGCCATTGTTGGTTACAGAAAACTACGTGCCGAACTTGAACATGTGCACCGCCGCCGTAAGGTGGGAGAACGTGCGTACCGGCGGACGAGGAGGGCGGTGGCCATCATCATGAAGATGAAGAGCGTGCTGACGGAGAGGAGGCTGGAGAGCACGTCGAGGCTGGAGAAGAGGCCGATGCAGGCGCCGGCGGCGGCGATGAGCACGGTGGCGTGCACCGGCGTGCCGGTCCTGGGGTGCACCAGCGCGAACACCGGCGGGATGATGTGGCTGCGCGCGATGTGCGTGGTGTACCGAGCCTGACCGAGCGCCCCGACCAGCAGCACCGTCGTCATCCCCTTGAGCGCGCCGAGCGCCACCACGTACTGCGCCCACCGCATCCCGACGTTGCTGAACGCCACCGAGTACGCCGCGCTCCGGTCGATCGCCGTGTACGGCTGCATCATGCTCAGCACCAGCGCCATCACGCAGTAGATGGCCGTGATCACCGACATGGAGCCGAGAAGCCCGAGAGGGATGTCTCTCGATGGGTTCTTGGTCTCCTCCGCCATGGTCGCGATGTTGTCGAACCCGCCGTAGGCGAAGTAGACGATCGCCGCCGCGCGGAACACGCCCGGCACGCCGTGCGGCATGAACGGGGTCAGGTTGCTGGTCTTCGCGTGGAGGAAGCCGGCCACGATGACGAAGGCTATCACGAGGACGTGCACGGCGGAGGCGACCCAGTTGACGCGGGAGGTGCCCTTGGCGCTCAGAATGGCCAGGGTCGCCGTGACCGCGATCACCACCACCGCGATGGGGTCCAGCTCGTTGTACCCCTCGGCGAGCGACGTCTGTATGCGCAGCGCGCTCGCCGGCTTGTTGATGAGCGACGCGAGGTACGACGTCCAGGAGCGCGCCACCGCGGCCGTGCCGATGATGCTCTCGAGGATGAGGTTCGCGGCGGCGATGAAGGCCGCCACGTCGCCGAGCTCGACGCGGAGGTAGGCGAAGGAGCCGCCGGCCACGGGGATCTCGACGGCGAACTCCGTGTAGCAGAACACGGACAGCATGGCGGAGAGGCCGGAGGCCACGTAGGAGAGCACGATGGCCGGGCCGGCGTGGTCGTGCGCCTCCTGGCCGGTGAGCACGAAGATCCCGGCACCGATGACGGAGCCGAACCCGAACCACGTGAGGTCCCACCACGTGAGGCAGCGGCGCATCTCGTTCTCGCTGCGGCGGCGCAGCGCGCCGAGCTCGTCGGCGTCGGTGGAGCGGCCGGCGAAGCGGTCGCGGAACCGCGCGGGCGTCGCGGCCAGCGCCGCGCGGTACGCGCCCCAGCTCGCGAAGGACGGCTCCGGGAAGAAATCTTCCTTCTGCCACCGCCAGTAGCTCCTCGCCTCCGCCGCCGGCTTACCCTCGTACGGCTTCTCCGGCGTATCGACGGCCGCCATATCTTCGTGTGGAGGGGATCGACCACAGCTTTGGTGGTGAACTGGACAACTGGTGGAGTGTGGTGAGCTGCAGGCAGCTGCAGCCTTGGAGATATCCGAGTGTGGATTTGTCACTTTGTGAGACGATCTCTTTTGTAGTACTCCCTCCGTCCCATAATATAAGGGATTTTAAGTTTTTACTTATATCGTTTGACCACTTGTCCTATTTAAATTTTTTTAAAATTATTATTTATTTTATTTGTGACTTACTTTATTATCTACAGTATCTTAAGCACAATTTTTCGTTTTTTATATTTGCAAAAAAATTTTGAATAAGACGAATGGTAAAATGTTATAAGTAAAAAAGCCAAAATCCCTTATATTATGGGACATGGAGGGAGTAGCTTTGTTATCTGATTTTTCTTTCTTCTTTTTCCTTTTTCTTTTTGTTTGTGTGTGTGAAGCGGATGCCGAGCATTTCCGGCAAACCGGCGCCTCGGTGTTACTTATGATTATAAGAATTCGTTTACATGACGTGTAACACTTTCAGTTCACTAAAATTCTTCATCTGCTTTAAGTAGCATGGACTACTTATAGATGGACGGAGCTCCTCTGATGCAAAGTTAAAGGAACGTGGGTCGCTGATAGGTAGGGCTCACCTTTAAAGGCCCACACGTTAGTGACGACGTTCCTCTAATGTAAAACTGGAGCTTTATCCCTTCTAGATAGGATAAATGAAGTCGTAGCAGTAGTGCCATGAGCGGGATGTACTTTCCTAATTTTTTTTCCCAAAAACGTCACACCAAATCTTTGGACATATGTATAGGCATTAAATATAGGTAAAATGAAAAACTAATTGTACAGTTTGTATGAAAATCGCGAGACAAATCTTTTAAGCCTAATTAGTCTATGATTAGCTATAAATGCTACAGTAACCCACACGTGCTAATGGCGGATTAATTAGGCTTAATAAATTCATCTCGCGGTTTCCAGGCGAGTTATGAAATTAAATTTTTCATTCGTGTCCGAAAACCCCTTCCGACATCCGGTCAAACGTCCAATGTGACACCCAAAATTTTTTTTTTCACGAACTAAACAAGGCATGCGTTTCTGTCATGGCCCTAAAATCCAAAGTCTGAAGCCCCTTGATTTGTATAAAAAAATACAAAAAATTTGAAAAATTTCAATCCTGTGGAAGAAATTGTTTAGTAAGTCTTTGAAACAAGGGGATTGAATCCAATCAATTTCTTTAAAAAAAAACTACGAAATAGGCAATCCTACATATATTTTATAAGTCATCAGCACAATCTAAAAGTCCATCCCTAAAATTCTACTTTTGGATAAGTAGTTAGATTTTCAGGTGTCAAAAATTTCCTCCATCTAAGGACTAAGTAAACATTAACTCCTAAAAATGAAAATTGAGTAAACATTAACTCCTAAAAATGAAAATGGATCTAACACTACACCAACATAATTGTCTCATCTCTCCACTGCCTTGCCGTCGCCGAAGCAGGCCGCTCGGCATGCATCTCTCCACTGCCTTGCCGTCGCCGAAGCAGGCCACTCGGCATGCATCTCTCCACTGCCTTGCCGTCGCCCAAGCAGGCCGCCCGGCATGCCGAGCGGCTACGTGGAAGGCGGCGGCATGGCAGTTCCTTGACAGGGACCTTGCTCCCTATGCGACGGAGGGGGAGGAGGGCATCGGGTCTAGGTTCCTGCCTCTAGATCTGGCGGTGTAGGAGATGGTAGGGATGTGGGCGGCTGAGGCGTAGCGGTGGTGGTTAGGCCCGCGCCTGGCCGAGCGGGTTGGTGACAGCAGCGGAGGTGGTTGGGACAGTGGCAGGTAGCGGTGTGGCATCGGCGGCAGCATCCCTTCGAGCGGCGACGAGTGTGGCAAAGGACGGTGACGGCCTAAGATCCAACGGAGGTGGTTCCGTATGCAGCAACGGCCCTAGGTGCAGCGGCGGCCTGGGAGTTTGGACAGAAGAGGGTGGCGGCCCATGACAGCAATGACCTGAGTGCTAGTGCAAGGATCTCAGCGAGGAAGAGGCAGATCTCGTCGTCGGCAGCCCTAGGTGCAGCAGAGGCATGGGAGTTCGGGCGAAAGAGGACTGCGGTAGAGGCAGCAGTAGGCTAGGAGTTCGGAAGGTGAAGGAGGATCCCGACGACGACAGTAGCCCTATGGGCGGCAGAGTCCTAAGAGTCCAGCGAAGTGGAATCTGATCATGTCAACTCGCGTCTGGTCGGCTAGTTTTGACTAGATGACGAATTGACGTTGGATGAAGGCGGGCCAACCAGCGGCGCGTGACGCCAGTTTACCTGAAGCGGATGAAGATGTCACCAATAGAGGTTCGCAGTGACGGCACACTAGGGGCAGTGAGGACTAGACGACTTCTACTCGATGAATTTAGCCGTTTCAGGAGAGGATTCCGAGAAGTAGGGATGTGTCGAGGTCGTAGTTTTTTTTTTTGGGGGGGTATTATGTTCCACTCTTTATTGAGATGTGAGTCTAGGTAATCTTGTATCTTTTTGGCTGATATCTTTCGTAGATATAGAGGTCAGATTAACGAAAATCCATTATTAAAAAAGAACTGCACTAACATAATCGGAGGTCAACTCCTCTCGTCGAGCGTGGCACGACTGTGCTACCTCCACTGCGCCAGGTGCCCACGTACTCGCGGAGAGCGAGAAACAAGACATGGGATTAGGGATTCTAATTTTTGGACATCTCTATAAAGAAAATGTTGGAGCCATTTTTTAAAGAAAAACAAAGTTTTTAGTACCGGGTTTTATTTTGGGATTCTATTGGACATGCTCTAAGCAAGAGCTCCAAACTTTGACTATCTCTAGTTCTGATTCCGTTCTTATGTTTATCCAGCTATCTACTCGAACAATCATTTCCTTATTATTTTTATATTTTACACTTATATTTCTATCGTAATTACGTGTTTTTATTTTATATTTTAATCTGACGTTTTATCATTTCAAACAAGTTGGTCGTGCACTGGTGCCTGTGGTTTGATGGCTGCGGAAATTTAGCAACTACTCCCTCCGTCCCATTTTAAATGTAGTCATGGTTTTCTGCGTCCAACTTTGACCGTCCGTCTTATTTGATATTTTTTTAAAAAAAATTTAAAACATAAACCACGAGTAAAGTACTTTTCATGTTTTATCATCTCATAACAATAAAAATACTAATTATAAAAAAAATTCAAATGAGACAGATGATTAAAGTTGGACGCGAAAATTTATGGTCACACTTAAAACGGGGCGGAGAGAGTATTATTTTGGTTGGTGTCTACTAGAGTAGCTTCTGTGCACGGTACACCCATGCACACATCCATTTCCAATTGCATCAGCAGTGTGGTCAAAAAAGAAAAATGCAATCAGCAATTCAGCACTACAGGGCACAGACAGCTCCACAAGCGTGCAAACAAAACAAGCATTTCCGGTAGCTCGTCCGATCGATGCGGCGCGATAGCGCAACAGGGGATCGATGGATGGGGACATGTGGCCGGCAGGCGAGCAGCGAGCGAGGCAATTGGAGATTGGAGATCCGTGATTGGGTGCGATCCGCGGCCTCTGCATCTGTGGATTCCGGAGGCACATTCGAGTGTGGGGCTGGGGCAACACGCGGGGCATGCGCAAAACGGCGCAAGGCTCCAAGGCTCCGGTTCGCCATCATCCCAGCCGAGCAGGTCGCTTCCTCTCGCTCTCCCTCTCCCTGTCCAGTGGATCAATGGATCATGCCGTGCCGTTGCGCTCGCGTGTTCCTTTGGTTGGCCTGGCTCGTGCTGTGCGGCGTGCGTGATTTAGGATTGGACCTTTTTTTTTGTTGGGGGGTGTACAGACTACAGGTAGTGCTCCTGTATAATCCAAAGTGATTAGTTAGGCGGTGCCAATTCATTTTGTTCAGATCACTCTCTTCATCGCTCGCCTACTCATAACAAGTTTAATAGTCTAGACAGCTACCGGCAATAAAAAAGACCATGTCAGCAGCAGTAGGTAACCAAAAGATGGTGTATATCTAAAAGATGGCTATACACATAAGCTCGAGAAACTATTCTAATCCCTCGAGAGGATATTCCCTCGTTTGCTTAAAAACCATCTAAACGGTTATGAAAAATTCTGGAAAAATTTGACAACATTCATACAACACATATATACAACTTCACAAAATCTTAAGTCCAAACTTAACTCACACATCGAGATATAAAAAAGACAAATTCAGCGTATGAATAGCACCGTACTGTTTATATCTAAATTTGTCTTTTTTGTTTCTCGATGTATAGATCGAATTTGAACATGAATTTTGGTGGACTAGTAGGTACCATTATACTCTATATTGTCAATTTTTTTTTACAATTTTTCATAACTATTTGCATCGAATTTGAAAGAAAAAGGTATACGAGAGGATATCCCCTTGAGGGATTAGAATCCACTCCCTATAAGCTCTAATGGATTAAGGTTGTGTTCGTTTGTAGAGCTTTACAACTTTCCACTCTCATTTTCCGTGCACATGCTTTTCAAATGCTAAACGGTGTGTTTTTTAAAAAAAATTATATAGGAAAGTTATTTTAAAAAATCATATTAATCCATTTTTTAAGCTAGTTTTAGCTAATACTTAATTAATCATGTGCTAATGTGCTTCTACGTTTTTCGTGCCAGAAGGGAAGATTTCTAACCAGCCCAAACGAACACAGCCTAATTTATCATTTATTTCCTAATTTAACTTCCCACCAGGCCATCACTCGTACCATACATCACGTCGTGTGGAGCCCACATTTATGTTGGATAAGATTGCATTTGTGTTGAATAAGATTTTCCACGGTTTCTCTCGTCTTGGAGCTCATGTGTAGTCAGCAAAAATTTTGTCGTCGGCTTACACACTCTCCTGGTTTTTTTTCATCCAATTCATCAGTTTCGTCAGGTTGGTTACGCTATGGCTGATTTCAATTTCTTAGGGCATTAGCAATGCGCTATTGAAATATGCCAAACCTCACCAGCCACATAGACCAAGAACAATATAAGCTAAATATCTCACAATGCATGCCACTTACAATGGGTCCCACTAATATCAACTTTACTTTTCATCTCCTCTCTTTTTCTTTCCCCAACAACCCCACCAACAGAG